GAGAAAGGCTGGGGCAGGGGACTTGGACACCTCCTACCTACTGAGTCTCAGCCCCACTGTGAATATCCTTTGAAAATATGGAGGGAGAGGCCAAAGGAGTAAAAATAAGTGAACATTCAGATGTGTCCTTCAACTGAAAACAGAAACCCTTGAGCAACCTTGAAGTTTACAGCCACTAATCTCTGAACTAGTGCGGTCACTCGGCCAGAGGGCTGTTTTGTACAGCGCTGGTTCAGCTCCTCCTGCTACGCTATCTGTGAATGCCAAACCCTTTGGCATGCAAGATGTAAATTCTTTGGGATTGAACTTGAAGGCTTCATGAGGGGACAGCTTGACCAATTTCATTAGTATCAAAATGCATTTCTTTTCCTTCAGCTGACATGACTTCCCACTGCGGCACTTGACAACAGTGTCCTGGATAGGAGGGTGCACCAGCTAATATATATTCAGAGTACTGAATCTCCTATCACTAAGGCTTTCTCTAATATTATGCAAAGGCTGATTACAGGGAAGTTGTCTGAAGTTACTTTTAAGCGTATTCTTTTTATCTTTCTAAGTGATGTTTAGGCTTTCCCTGCAATTATTGGTATATTCAATACTTTGGTCAAATCAGACTTGTAGCTCAGCAGATTTCTAATATCCACAGATGGGAAAAGTACTGATTGCAAGCTGTCAAGAGCCATCTTCACTGAAATACTAGTTGTTGCTTTGTTTCAAATGGTAGGGGCAAAACCTTTTCTTTTCATGATGATGAGTTTCAGGTATATAAAGCAAATCTTGTTCTATAGCAGGCCCTGATGAATCTAGGAAATAAACAGCAGCAGGTGTATAGGGAAGGTGTATGGGAAAACCTCTTTCACCTACTGGCTGGAGAGGATATGAGCATGGGGTTCAGTAGCTTTCTAAAAACTTGTATATCTGGATAATCTGGATACATAAATATGTAGAAAAATATGTAGTTGTACACGATATCTACAAATGTAGATATTTATCTGTATTATTAAGTGTTTGGTCCTATTTCAATTCATAATTCTTATCTTTTGGTGATGAAAAAACCCTCCTTTTTGAGGGGAATTGATAGTCTCAACTCAGCTGTGTAATTGTGAACTCATTTTGTTCTTGTGTTGTATAAAAAAAATCCGATTGACACTGCCAATCTATCCTTTCTGTACCACTCATATTTGTATGTGTCTGTCCTGCTTCCTCTTTTTTTGTCTCCTGTGAAGTCAACAGCTCTAAAATTTTCACTTTCTGTGGAGGGAAGATTTTCTCCTTCTTTTTTGGTTACAGGCTAAAGTCAGACACAGGCTAGAGTGGGGAGAAGAAACAGGGACTCTCTCCTCGTAGGCAGTGACTAAACCAGATTGTTGTTCCTAGTGGTGACAGAAATAGGCAAGAAGGTTCTCGGTTTAGACCCCCTGCACATTTTGGTTGAAGGAAAAATCTGTTGAAAGGTGCTAAACTTAACGTGTTAAAGAGAAGTTTCTTACTCTTTTCCTACAGTAAAGACCCTTTACCGTTCTCTTTTTCCCCAAAAAAATCTGCAAGGTTCTGTGACTTTATTATAGTTTGAATTAACTTCAGGTGTATTCATGGAGCTGTTGAGGTCTGCATCATCCTGCAGAGGATTGCTCTTTAGCCCAGACAAGACTCCATAAAAAACATCCTTTGACAGTTGCCTACTGCTTCCAGGAGCTCTCCCTTCTTTTTTCATTAATTCATTTGCATTCAGAGCTGCTCCTGTATGCCAATTAGCTTTAATTTTTACTATACACACTGACGTCAATGGCCAATGAGAAAAGAGCATAGCAGGATTTTTAGTGTGCCCATAAACTACAGAAAATTGTCCTTGGACAAACTCCTGCTTTTAGGCTGGCTGACAACAATAGACATGGTGAAGTTCAGGCTGAGCCATTAAACATAATTACTATCACAGGGTAAAAGTTTAATTGTGCTAAATTTTAAATCTGCATAGTCTATGCTTATTTACAAGCTGACTGGGTCTTCCTGTTACATAAGGGGGAATAAATCTGTGCTTGAAAATTGTTGCCTTTTAACTTCAAAGGGAAGTGAAAAAATAGGGGGTTTGGAAGAAGAAAAACAACTCCAAACTGAAAACTTTCTGTATTTCCAGCTTCTTTTTTGCCAATGGCTCCAAGCTGGTAAGTAGATGCTGAGCATCTTCCGACAGATGTTTCTAACGCGCTTAAACTTTGTGTGCATGAATGTGTGAGAGAGTATTGCATCTGTTATGAAGGTATCTGGGGGACAGAATGCAGATCAGTTTGTTTATGTGGGGTTATTTTAAATATAACCACAGATGGGGCTTGGGGTGGAAGATCTTTCTCCTGCTCCTTTTCTTCTCTCCCTCTTCCGATAATGTTGAGCTCCTCACCTCAGAAAGTTTCACCTCAAGTAGCTTCTGGATCAGTAGGTGTCAGAGGTGGCAAGTTTTCTACAAGCAAACAAAAAAGGCAAAAGTCTGCGCTCATTTTGTATTTTCTTCCAACAGATTAAAAAAAAAAATGTTCACTGAGCTACAAGTTACAGCGTATTTTTAGAAGCATGGTGAATATACGGGGCTCTAAATCACTCCCTGAAAAGCAGATTAAAATTAGGAAGTGCTAGAATAAGTGTGAAATGTTCATCTGTTGGAAGAGGGAGGGTATGAAGGACTGTGAAACTTGATAGAAGAGAAAAAGATTAGCGTGCTGACTAGCTGGAAGCTACGTTTATGTAGACATTAGAAGGCAACACGATTTCAGCTGGACAGAACATAAGCTTCAGATCTTATGCAAACAGTCAAAGCTGTTTAACAATTGGTTTACCCCCAAAACCCCTGAAAGGAGACAGGTGAATACGATGCCAAATACATTTTTCATGTTTCTTAAGCTAACTGTTTAAATAGTTAAGTGAACATCTGTCCAAATTTCCCCATCATTTCCATTTAGAAAAGTCTCCTATTTGAAGGCTGAAGAAAAGCACCTGCTTAACAATGCAAATGGTGCTGTCTGGGGCCCCTTTATTTTGTTTAATCTAGATTGAGCTCCACACAACTGTGATGCTAATGAATAATGGATATTTTATACTTGCGCATGTAGCAGTGCTGGGCACAGAGCAAATCTAGGATTAACCTCCCAATTTCCCTGCCTAATGCATTTGACTCATTTTTTGAGTTTGCTGTGACTTGGGTACTCTAAAAACGGATGCCTGGTTTTATGGGAAATAGGAAAATCCTGGCAAAAGCTGTCAGGCTTTGCTATGCCCAAGTGAGGTACTGTGGAAAGGGGCAGCTACGTTGAGGAAGGGAGGGATGTCTGTAACAATGGCTTGATTTGCGAGCAGGTGCTCAGTGAGAGCCAGGGTGTTTCAGGGTGGAGACCTGGACGCTTTTCACTGCCACATTTTTTCAGTCTGGTCTGCTGGCATTAGGCAGCCAAGCCCCGTGCTCAGCTGGCTCCCCTGGCTGCCTTCAGGGGAAAAAATTTTGGTACTCGCTCTGCAGATTTTCTGTCCTGCACGAGTGTTTCAGTTTGGTTTGCGTGGTTTAACTATCAGGGAAAACTGAGCGCTGTTTCTTCACAGGAAGGCTTGGGGTTTTCCAGCCAGGCCTAATGAAAGACCACTGATACCACATCTAAAGAAAAATAAGGGTAGCCTTTTTTAAGCTGGAGAGCAAGCTGACTCTGGAATCACAGCACTGTGGGAGGGAGGGAGAGTTGTGGAGGTTTCTATAACACTGCTGGGTGGTTTAATTCACAATTACTGGCCAGTAATAATTAGTATTGATTAGCTTGGCAAATTGCAGGTTTAGAAATTGGTTATAGATTTTCCTGATGCTTCTCATCTCCGTGTTGTGGAATCAGCCAGAACCAATGGCTTGAAACAAGCCATGAGCCCAAATCTGTCTGCGGGCAGCGACGCGTTGCATGCGCAGAGCTAATGGTCAGCAGGAATCGTACGTCTTGAGGCCCATCGCCCCAGGAATACGATTTTTATCATCTTCTAGGCAAAGTAACTAACCCACATGCATATTGACCACAGTCTGGGGTGAGATTGGTTTTGTCAGCCTGTTGATCGGTGCCCCCAGCTGGTTCCTGCGGCTTTAGCCTCGCAGTGGCGTGGTGCCCCCGGCATGCACAGGGGTCTGCAGGGACACCTTGGAAAAGGGGGCTGGGGGCTGGGGAAAGGGTGCTGCAGCCTTGGTTGAGTCCCCCGGCAGGAGCTGTAACAGCAGCAGACATCTGGGGAGACAGATAGTGAAAGCCAAGATGAAAATGGCAAAGCTTCCAGTGCTGAAGGGCTGTCCTCGAGGACTGGGGAGCTGAAGTGGAACGGCTGAGCATGCTGTTCAGGCCGCCGTGGAAGGGCTTAGCTGGCTCCTGGGAGGGATGAGGATGTGGGAGAAGGGGGGCACAGCCACGGGGGAGGGCTTGCTCTCCAAGATGCCTTGCAAAATACTGTGCACTCATTGCAAGAGAAATTATGTTTTTTCTTTTTAAACAGCAGGTAAGTGAGGTTCTTCCTGAGCTCTACTATAGTAGAGCTTTGCCTGCCAGGATTGGCAAAGTTTGCAGGACTTGTGTGTCTTGCTGCGAGGTGCCAGCCTGTCCCTCCGCCAGGTTGTGACCAAGCAGAGCAAACCCACGCGGAGGAGGATGGGAGGCTCCAAGCACCTTCCCCACTGCTTCAGAGAGGCAGATAGTTTTTGACTGAAATTTTGTGAGCCCCAAAATAGCGCTCCGAATGTTTAATGCTTTTCTCCATTAGACAGCAAATTAGCCCTAGGCTCGCAAACCAAATGAAGTTTCATCTCGACGATCAGAGCCTGCTCACCAGGCAGTTTTACCCCAAGTTCCCGCACGCTGGTTGGTCAGTGAAATGGAGACTGCAACTTCTATTTATTGGTGCAATACAGTATTTGATACTGCTAATTACACTTAATTAGTCCTTCCACCATTTAATTAAAATGGCTTCTAATGATTGTGCTTCTTTGGCAGGCTCTTTGGTACCACCGGGAATTGTGCTGCCTGCAGTAAACTGATCCCTGCCTTTGAGATGGTGATGAGGGCCAGAGATAATGTTTACCATTTGGACTGCTTTGCCTGTCAGCTCTGCAACCAGCGGTGAGGACACAGTTATTATACACACAAACTAATTTATACCTTTGCCCACAAAATGGGGAAACGTTTGATCTGCACTACCTGTCTGGGGCTCACAGCCTGCTGGCGTGGCTCAGGCTGGTTTATTAGGCTGACCTGGGTGATGCATGTAAGTACCTGTAGCCCTTTTACTGCAAATCCCCTTGGAGCTGGTGGGAGTTGAAGGGGCAAGGGGGGGCACACAGGCACAGACTGTATGCGGCACAGCTGCTGCTGAATAAAACAAACTGATTCAGCGTCCTTTCAGGATCTACCCTCTTTGCAGAATGCAGACGATGGAGAATGGACCTCCTCTGGCAAACTGATGTTATCTTGCTTAAATCACATTTCTGACGGGCTCAAAACAGGGGATGGCAAAGAAGAAGGATAAAGAGAAGGGACAGGAAGGAGAAAAATACTCTAGCTAAGCCGTTTCCAACACTGGGAACAAATCCCTTTAGTTGTTGTGTAATTAACAGGGGATCTTGGTGGTATAATTTTGAGTAGGCCTTGTGTATTTCTGCTGGGTTTTACCCGTTGGAAAATGCACATCGAGGAGTATAATAAAGGGTCATGCACAGTGTTTTCACATATACTACCTGTAGCCAGTTGAATTTGGGAGGGCTGTGAAAAATCTTCCTAGCAGCGTGTTTGTTGGTCATTGTAGGCAGAATGGAAGCCCACAGAACCAGATGTGATTTAGTGTCACCTTCTGATGCATCCATCTATCCATCCTTGCCTAAGACAGACATGAAACTGCTTGCTGTTCTTACTGCTTGTTTAGTCAGGCTGTAGTGGCTGCCCAGTGTCCAAGGCCTGTGCTGGGATTCCTGTTCTTAATCTGTGATTGTGTTTCCCAAAGATGAAACTAGGATGCAATGCTTCATCCCGTGGGGAGGTGTGAGAGATATGTGTGGGATAGGTGCAGGAAGATAGAGAACCCAGTTCCATAAAAGTCAAGCTAAAAGACTGACTTTAAAATTCTTTGCTCACTCTAGAAAAAAGTCACAGTGGGATGTCTCATGAAGCAGCCATACATGTATGGATGCAAACCTGCCACCTCCCCTCTAACCTTAGGCGACCCTGTCTGCTTCTCCTTCTGTGCCCTCTGACAGTGGCTTAGCCCTTGAGATAGATGGGCTTGCAGCTGGTTGGTGCCAGAGCACAGAAGAGGCGAATCGGGTGAGCCGTGTGTAGCCCAGGTGGCTTTACTCGATCGCTGGCTGAAGGCGGAGGCGGTGTTTATTCGGGATACAAAATTCCCATTAATACTGTCGCGTCCACGGGCGCGGTGGCAGTGCCGGGGCGGCAGTGACATCTAGTGGCTCCTGGCCTTGGGCTCTCTCCAGAAGCCACATGAAATCTTTCAGTTGCCCAGTCTTGTTTTGTAACTTTTGAACATGCTCCTGCCACAGCCACGATCCCCGACCAGCAGCATGTGACTGCACAGAGATGACCTTATTCCCCGAGATGCTCCTTCCACAGTGCTAAAATCACTGCTCAGTTCTGGGGTTTGTCTCCATGTGCTGCCAGGCTCAGCCCTCAGGCTCAGTTCTCTTCACCCTGCTGATGAAGGCCAGGCAGGAGAGGGGTACTCCCAAACTCCACGCAGATATTAAGGGTGGAGCATCTTCAGGCAGAGGCAAGTCTTGGCTATGGGCTGCACAGGGAGGAGTGCTGGGTTGGCCTTGGAGTCTGTAGGATGACTATCTGTCATCAAACCCCTACTTTACCCTTCTTCTCTTGTGGAAAATCCTAGTGATGCTTAGTTTTCCTTTTTGGTAATTTCTTTAAAATTTCACTCTTTATTTCAAAGACTCCAAAGCACTTCCCTCCCTCCCTTCCCTCTGCAGTTGTTAACACTGTTACTGCACTCAGTGCAAAGTGCTGCCCTGCCTGCTCTTCCCGTAACCTCCACGTGCTGACACTGCCCGGCAGGAGAGCACAGGTAATCCCCCCGATCTGGCAGAGTTGCGCTTTGATGCACAAGGGATTTGCTGCCCGGTTTGAGAGGAGCTGAGTTGTTCTGAAAGATGGGCTGAGTGGACAGCGTAGAGCTATGTGTAGGTTGTTATTTTTGGCTGAGATCAGAGGGCTACAAACTTTTATGACTTATTCTGTAGAGATTTTGGCTTGAAAGGGCAGAGTGGAAGTGATCATGTAACAGGCAACATTGGATGCTGAACTGAGAACAGTGAGATTAAGTAACCCTAAAGTCAAAATTGCAGAGGTGGATGCCAATACTAGTCCTGAATTGGAAACCCCACCGAAACCCCTTCTCACTCTTCAGCTATGAAAAGATTTGATGAGGAAGACCTTTCTTTAATTCTCTTCTAGCTTCCTTGCCCTTCTATAGCTGGACACTGTATAGAGTGTTAAACCTATCAGAGCAAAATCTCTAATATTTTTACCAAGTGTGCAGTGTTTTCATTAGTTTCATTCTCTAAAACATCAGGTTTGCAGCTAGTCCTGCATTGCTACTCAGCCTACTGTGCTTTAAACTCTTCTAAAGTCAAATGGTTATCATAGTGCTGAATAAAAGCTGATCACTGCTGTAACTGGCTAATAGGTCAGCGATACAAGGGTTGCAGGAAATCCAGCTGCTTCTGTTGCCATTATCTGAAGTGTGGTTTTGCTCAGAAGAAAATCACTCCGTAGAAATGGCAGGGTAGGTTCAGCACCTGTTTCTCACTGCTGCTGGCTGGAACTTGATCAGCCAGAGGGGCTCAGCAACATTCCTGCTCCGAGCATGGGGGCTGATGGTGTGGTCCCACATTTCTCTCTGAAGAGACCTGTGGGTTGGGACACGAGAAACTGAGCCTGAAGTTGCCCTGTTAAATTCTCGGTCTCCAATTGTGATGCATCAGCTGAAAAGATCCCAGTTTACTGGTGGGCTTGCAGGGCTGGCAGGTAGAAATAGTTGCCTTTCCAATGAATCAAACCCTTCTCCCAAAACTTCACATCATATTAAGGTACCCCTGCAGTGCATTTCAGTTCCCATGTGCTTGTACACAACACCCCCACCTTCCAATTCCCTAGTTCTCCAGCTCCTCTTTTGGCTCCTCTAGACCCAAACCAGGTTTAGCAAGAGACAGATGTTGATGCTGGTAGTAAGAGTAATTTTTGCATTTCTCTTCCCGGAGATTTATATGGTACTTAAGGTAGGGATAAGTAGTAAAAAGCAAGCAGCTGTGTCTGTTATTTATAGTGAGTAAACCTGCTGGTGGGGAAGGTGGTGTTAGGGAGAGTGTAAGCAGTACAGTTTTTAGCATAAGAGCTGTTCATTTAAATTGAGAATAATTTTTAGCTTTTTTATATACAAAAAAGGTTGAATTTCATAGCTACTAAAGCACGTGCCACAGAGGGAAGAGGATGGATGGTCTCCAGTGAAATCCTATAAAGGCAGAACCAACACTCAGTTCCCTCTGTACCGACTTGGCAAATTAATCAGCTTATTTGCAGGTGTCCAGTTGGAGAAAACTTGTGCCCATGTTGGACCTATGAAGGAGCTCTAAAATTATCACTCCTGTTCTTTTAGCAGAAAATACTCAGTTTTATAGAGATGTTCTGCCTGAAGCTGCCTGAGTTAAAATGAAGAAAGTATTTTAGTCAAGGAATAAACAGTGCCAAAGCTCTGCCTGGGAGCAGGAAAAGTGGGCATTTGAGGTCTGCTAAGTCTCCTGAGGATGGGGTCATCTCCACTGATCTTCCTTCAGAACCTAGTTCAGAGATGCCTTGAGGCACAGTCCCTGACCCAGGGTGCCTCTCTGCTTTAGGGACCTGGGGCTGATTTCAGGCTCAGCTCCTGGGGCAGGGAGGCACAGCTGCGTGTTCTGGTCCGTCATTGCCCTGCCAGTGTGATGGACAAAAAACAGCCCCTGAATTGGGTGCAAAGAACGTTATTTGTTATCTTAAGGAGTAAAGATTATCTTTTGATTCCTGAGCAAGCAGACAAGGCAAAAAAGCTATTGGCTGTCAGTTCACACCTCTCAGATCTTATATGTGGAACTTTTTTGACCTTAATGGTCAAATAAAATTGTTAAATATCACAAGCTTCTCTGTCAACTTCAAGACAAACAGAACAATTTACATGGTATATAGAGAGCTGTGCCCTTCGCTCAATGAAGATAAAGGTTAGGAGTCCAGCCACCGGGAAATTTCTATTTATTGTTCAGCACTGTACACAAGGGGGTGAGGAAGGACTTAATAGCCAGTCCTTGCCTGGAAATTAGTGTAAATACTGCCTCACCCGAGGGAACTGTGGAAACATGGATACCAGCAAAAACTTCAAATAGTCTCTGTGTAATATCGGCCGCTTGATTTCTCGGTTGTAGAGCCGACACCTCTTGTCTGCAGGGACAAATCCCTTAACTGCTCCTGGTCTCCTCCTGCTGTTGGTGTGGGACCCGGCAGGGACTGGGATCTGCTCCCTGAGCTGCTTCGTACAACTGTGGCCTGGAGCCGAGCACAGCTGTGCCAGGGAAAGGGACAGCAAAGCCCTGGGGTGGGGATGGGGAAAGGGAGGCGGGCAGAAGCACATGGGCTTTCCTGGGCTCCGATGCCACTGGTAGAGATAGAAATCAAACTGGTCACCAGAGTCGCCTTGAGACCCAAGCATACTTACACCCACTAATTCTTTTTATCTTCCAGATTCTGTGTGGGAGACAAATTTTTCCTGAAGAACAACATGATCTTGTGTCAGATGGACTATGAGGAAGGGCAGCTGAATGGGAGCTTCGAGTCCCAGGTTCAATAACAGACCCTGCTTCACTGAAGCACTGTGGGATGGGCGCTTGGCCGCATGAGCAGCGAGGGCGCCTGTCAGCTTGCCTGCAATATTTTTTTAATTCTTGGTCCAGAGAGGACTATATACATTGTAGTACTTTTCCCCCCCAACACAAAGCAGTTACAATTTTAGATGTACAGTTGTGCCTGCTTAGCTGAGCACTGCATTGCCTGTATGTTTGTGAGTTTTTGGGGTCTGGGGGAGGGCTCTGTACAGTCTGTTTTCTGTATATAAACTGGAACATTTATTTTATGAAAAATGTAATGCAATTTTATTACTGGTGTGAATTAAAAATTATGAATGTTTCCTGGTCATCTTTGCTGTGGTTTCTTCCCCATGTGGCAAACGGCTGTGTTTCCTGTGCTTTATGTTGAGCAGACTATTAGAAAAATACACACAGATCCCTGGAATCACATGGATCACAGCAGAGGCAAGTTCACAAACACCAGCTGGGGGAAATGCTGCTGCAGACTTAGACCTCTCTGCTTGAACAGTGCAGAGACTTGTGTCCAACCACCTGCTTCCCTGTACAATGGGAGGGAACAAGCTGGAGGCAGGTGATGGTTGGGAACCATTGACATCGCTGGCCGGGTCCCACCAGGGCTGCTGAGCTGCTGGCTGAGAGGCACCTCGCTTTGCACCTCTAGGAATTCAGACAGAGCTTTTCCATGGCCAGGAGCACTTATTGGCCAGCTGATACAGTGTCTCCAGTCTGGTCTGCGAGGAGCAGGCTCCCTCCAGCCCTGCCAACAGGTGCCTGGGCATTGATCAGGATATTAATTTCAAGGCTTTGATAGGCAGTGGTGTTTTCCCATGGGGCATCGCTTGTCAGAGCTGCTGCAAGGGCTGATGTCTGGGTTTGAACATGACTGGGCGCTGATGCAGCATCATCCCTTCCCACAGCCCTTTTTGCTTACTCTGTGCCAGGTGCTTTGACCTCCCACGCAACAAAAGCGATGAGATTTGAAGCATCTCCTGGAGAAAAATTCTGAACTGTGTTCCTGCTGCGATGCTTTGTGCAATGATTTTCAAGGTTATGCAATTCATGTGCAACCCACTGGACTGTATCAAACACATTTCTTTGTATGGTGAGTGTCACTTTAATATAGTGCACCAGTAGCTGTAAAGGATGGCTGCAATTCTATTTATTTTGTCTTCTGGCTTTTTCTTAAATTTGCCCCCCTTTCCTTTAATAAATAGACACCGAGTACTTTTTTTCTGATGTGACTTAATTGGTTGCTGGTCCTGGGTCGCTTGTGTGTGTTCTCTGGATTGCAAATGCCAAATACAGTGCAGCTTGGTGTTGTTCTGACTGTTGCATGAAATGCTTTTATGTACACCTGTGCTAAATAATGGCTAAATAGAGGCAAAACTCCAGTAGACACTTAGTGAGCCTAGACACTTAGTGAGCTTCAAAATATTGCCTATCATCTAAAGCTACCTGAGACATGTGAAATGATTGAGTGATTTTTTCTTCATAAACAGATATTTTGGATTGAGAGACCCATTATAAAATGTTTGGCCCCATCCCTCTTTATTCCCATAAACATGGAATAGCAATTTAAAAGCCACCTATAGCTGCCTATGGATATGTGGTATTTTAACTGCTTCTCCATTTTCGTGCTTTCTGGGGTTGGGGAAGATTGTCTTGTGAGAAACTGTAGGGTTGATGCTCTTTTTGTAGAGGCTGTGGGAGGTGGCCATGCTGGAGCTAAGGAAGGAGTAGCTTGTTACGCAAATGTTTTGATTTCTTGCTTTGAAATGGGCTGCCAGACAGTCACTGCCTCTGCCTGTGCTACAGAGTGATGGCTCCTCACCTGCCTCTGGGATTTGCTGTAATTCATCACACAATGGCAGCGCGAGGGTGCTGCTCTGTGGTGAGGAAGGAAGCAGTAAAACAAAACCAAAACCACTCACCAAACACGCTGGAGGGAGCTATTAATTTTTAGTTCAGATTCTTAAGGAGGGTTTTGGTACCAGTTTAAAAACTGAGTCCTTTGGAGAATGGTACCTTCTAGAAAGCATTTTTTTCTTGGCTTAGCTGGTCTACTTACTTCAGAATTGAAGGGAGGAGGAAAGTGTAACTTTTCAGAACTGCCTTGCTAATGCCAGCTAATGGCTCTGCAGCTGCCTGATCTCTTGTACATCGCTGGGAGAGCTGCAGAAATGTCACCCCAGAGGGAGGAGGATGCTGGAGTAGAGGGTCGTTTGTGCAGGAAATCCCACTCTACTGTTGGATGAACACAAATGGTGTTTGGTTGGTGTGAGCCATGTCTTGCTGTGTATGTGTGTCCCCACACTGGCTCTGCAGGGCAGGAGGATCTGAACTGGCCCATTTGGAGGTGTCATTTACACTGTGGGCCCTGACTTATGTGCAATGGCTTTCGCTGCCTCCCTGCGCTTGTCCTTGCTGTGAAATGCAGGCAGTACCCTGGGGTGCAGGGACTTCATTTCTGATGGGCAGCCCACTTGATTCGTCACCATGGCTGTAGATCCAGTTGCTGATGTCTAACAAGGAATTTCACGATGCTGTTTCATGCAAAAACCTCAGCTGGCAGCGGGGTGGGTGGGAGGAAAGCCTGGGGCAGGACACAGCTTCTAGCTGCTGAGTGGGGTGCAGCAAATGTCCGGTTGTCTTATATTAAAAAAAAAAAATAACACAAGGGAGAAATTGTGCAGCATCTATATCTCTCTTTTCTGTATCTGCCAGCAGACAAGGCCTGCCTGCCATGGCCTGTGCCCCTGAGAGTGTTGGAGGTGGGATATCTTTAAAAATGAAAATCCCAGGAGGACAATGCAATCATGAATTTTTGTCTGAACGCTGCAAATTTGCTTAATAGAAACAAGTGCTGGAGTGCAGACCTGCTGTTGAATAATCGCTTCCACTCTACGGAGCAGAGCACGGAAACCTTTTGATGGTGTTATAGTCATCACTTGGCATAAATATTCATTCAAGGAATCAGAGCAGAGTAAATGGCATTTTAGCCGCTAATCATTTAGTATTAGCAGATAGCCCTTTTACTGCTAAAGATAACCACTGCTTAATCAGTTTAGTGACCACTGGCATATAGTATGACATTTAAGCCTGTGCCTCAGTCCCCACACTGAGGACATGGCTCCCAGTGACCCCTCTGTCCAAACCTCCATCATTTCCAATGTCAGCCCAGCCGCCGCCAGCTGCCAACTGCACTCAGCTGGCTTTAACTTCTGCATTATGTGCCATTTGCCTCCTTATCTTAGATCAAAGAGGTATTTTAAGTTCATGCTACAAATGTTAAAATCTAGGATCTTCTTTCTCTTTTTTTTTTTTTTGTAGTCGGGGCTAATGGCTGATCATAGCGCAGTCTGATTTTGAGATTAAAAACAAGCCAGTATTTAAAGGCAATCAAAATCTTAAGCTTCTTCTCCATTCATCTTTAATGCTGGTGTAATTGCTGCACAGATTCTGGCTCTCCCTCCAGACTTAATTTATTTTATTTTTGGAGCGTGCCCCTGTCTGTCAGAGGGATGTTATACTTCCCTGAGCAGCATTAGCGCTATTGAGCACTCCGCCACCGGCAATCCAGCTCACCCCATTTCATATCTTGCCAAACAAGTTAATCTAATATTAACAGCGGTTTGTTACCTCGTTGTTAGCTTAATTTACTTTACAAGAAATGCTATATTTGCATTTCATCCCTCTGTCGTTGGCTTGCGAACCGCGCTTCCCAACGCCAAGAAGGGATGGTTTGCGCCGCTCGGCGCCAGTCCCTCGGCGCGGCATTGCCACACGGAGGAGGAGGCCATCACCCCCACCAGGCGTTTTCCCTAATTGGCCAAGGGGGATGTGGGGAGTTGGAAGGAGGATTTCGAAAGCCACAGAGCAGGTCCTGGAAATGCAATATTCAGAGTAGCGCAAATACCGCTGCTGCTCTTCCAGTAATAGAGCTGAGTCGCAGACAGCAGTTTTCCCTGGTGGGAAACATATACAGTAAATGTCTTTAGTATGGAAATCAGCAGACGTGTGGGCACAGGGGCAGACGTTTGTAACACCAAGATGTTCCTCAGGCTTTCAGGGGTGCTACCATGCCAGCCCCTGCCACACACCAGGGATTTGTCAAGGTCTCTCCACCAGCGTGGTGAGGGCCCTGGGCCTCACTTCCAAATTGCTGGGGTGAGGGAGCTGTGAGCAAAGTCCTCCAAACAATCACTCAAAATCTAATTCCTCAAATGACCTGGCTCCCAGCCCTCAGCAGCTCTCAGACAGGAAGGCTCTTCTCCAGCAGCCTGATGGGGCTGTGCCAGCTGCAGGGCTGGGGTTGACCTGTAGTGGCCATAGGTAACATCGGTGATTGTGTACCTGGGGCTGTCTCCCCTAGGTTAGGGAATGTGGAGTTGTTGGAGATGGAGATGGCTTTTGCCAGTGAAAGTTTCTGACTTAATTCTTGATTAAGTCACTCTGTGTCCCATTGCTAAACCCTGTCCCTGTTTATGGGGTGCCGGCTTCCCACCTGCTCTAGCAATTGCTCCTTTCCCCTGTGCCAGCAAGGCAGCAGTGGAGCTGCCTGCAATGAGTTTGTAATATTATTTCCAAATGGAAACAGCAGTGAGTGGGGTGATGCCATTACCCTGTCCTCTCACCCCCCTGTGTCCTCAGACATCAGCTTCTCATGAAAAATGGACCTTTTAGCAGAGAGGGAGGTTGCAAATGTTTTTCTAGGGGAGCCCACTCAGACCTGGAGCTGATTTCCGGCTGCCTCTCCTGTTGCACCCCAAGTCAGCAGATAGCTCCAGCTTCTCTGATGGGCAGGCATCTCCCCAAGACTCTCCACCTCTCTTGTTCATCCCTAGGCACGGTATTCCCTGTAGTGCACTCCAGGGCAGGGCTGAGCTCCCAGTGCAGGCACCGGCTCCAGGGGAAGCCTCAGTTTGCACAGCTTGATGTAGGTATCACTGCTTACAGGAACCAAATGACTGTCTGGCTGGCTTGCTCTGGTTTTAATAGTAAAATGCTGAAGGATGCTGAGGATGACTCTGGCCAGGCTGAGATGTCTGGCGGGGCAGCTGCTTCATGGTGCAGAAGAAGGTTTTTAGTAAAGATCTGAGAGAAAGCAGAGCTGGAAGGACCAAACCTGCAGAAGCAGCAGAACATGGAGAGGTGGATTGAAGTGGGGGATCAGCTGCAGATGAAAGTACCAAATATTAGTAGCTTATTGTAAGCAATTGGAGGGCAAGTGGCCCAAGCAGAGATCTGTTTTGCCACAAAAGCACTATGAAGCACGTTGTAAGTAATGCAAAAGTATAAGTGTAAATATAAATAACATAAATATATTGCACTGGACACAGCTCTGAGGCCAGTCATCCCGGGAAAACATGCCCAGGGGAGATGATTTAAGCTACTGCTGCATTGCTTGTCCACCATCCCTCCTGAGGGCCAACCCTCCCTCCCCATCAGGCCCAAGAATTCACTCTCCCTGGGGTTTTTGCCTATGGGAGCAACTGAGTGCCAAAGCCAGGGGCTCCAATGCTGATGCCCAGTGCCGGATCTGCTCCCACCTGCCCATAGCACAGTTAGCTCAGCATGTAGGGATAAATACCACTGAGCAGGCAAATGGTTTGGGTTTTGGACAAGAGGCTGTCTCAGACCCAGGTATATGCACATCCATCCTCTCTGAGCCACGGGCAATTTTTTCCCCTCCAGGTGATACAGGGGCAAAAATGGGACTTGGCTGGGCGACTAACTTTGGGAGCACTATAAAACAAAGGTGCTCTGGCGGGGGGAGGTGTGGTGGCCAAGCAGGTGGCCCAGGGTCAGGGCTGCTGGAAATGTCAGCCTTCTCCCTCAGTGGGTGCCCAGCAGCCAGAGCCATGGGCAGGGCCTCAGCGCAGCTGGAGCCTGGTGCCAGCCCACGGGCACGGTGTGGCAGCACCTGCAGGCGGTGGCACGGCCATGGGCACCTTGCACACCCGGGGCAATGCGCAAATACACATTCAGGCTCCGCCGCTGACCAGACACATAATCCTGAACTCCCAGGAGTTCCCTGGAAGGAATGTTTCACTACTAACTTAAAGAAATTAATTTGAGAAGAGCAATAAGGTGCTGCCTGCTCCCTGCCTGCGGGTGAGCAGAGGGGCCTGGCTGCCTGTTTTAGTCTTCGATGGTAACACTTCTGGAAAGAAATGTTAACACAGCCTGAGCATTTTTGGGTGATTTTACTAAGAAAATTACCTTGAGAATAGCTTTATTATTATTAAATTGAATCAGGTATTTACTTAAAGGTCTTGACATCCTTGTAGAAACTGTACAAAATTGTGGTTTTATTTAATGAAAATTCTGTTGCTTGAAACCGGTGTCTCACTCTGGAGCTCGTCCTGAGGCACCGTGGGCATCCCAGCAGTGGGTGTCTTTAACCTAAGTGACCTCTTCAATGTTCAATGCTCAGGTTCAGAAGGAGGGACTTCTGTTTGCAGTTTGGTTTTCTGAAAAGAGATTGTCTTTATCATAATTTTTTTAATTAATTTTTCTTAAATTCTTGCTGAACACAGCCCAGAGATGCAGTGAAGCATCTTGCCTTGGTAGCAGTAACAGCAGCCCTGGGGGGCTGAGGCGATGACCTCTCTGCCTGCCGCAGAGGAGGAGAAAAGGTGCCCCAAAGTCCCAGTGGGAACACAAAGGTTCAGGACATAACATTCTCCAGAGCAGGATGCCTTGCCTTTGCACCTGAGAGGAGGCCCTGGGAAGCCTCAGCCTTTGGCAAGACACAAACATTAACACAGTGGCTTTGCCATGGCCGCAGCAGCCCAGGAGCTGCTCCTGGCTGCCCTGCACTGTGTCCCCTCACCCCACTGGGGAGCAGCAGCCTCATAAATAATTCCTCAGTGTAATGGCAATGTTGTAAAACATGAATATTTAGTGCATGCATAATAGTTGTTTATTCATACTTAAATGTCAGCTGATGAAAACATATTTAAAAGGCTCCATTTCTGGGGAAGCACAAGCAGCCGGAGGACATGGGATGCAAAGTCACACTGTTTCTTGCCACACTGAAGCCCAGGGGTGCAGTGACAGACCCCTGCACTCTCAGGCTGCATCATGTTCCCATTCCCTGGGTACCAGACATGCGGGAGCCAGCCCTGTCACGCTCTTAACAGATCCATCTCCGGTCAACAGTGGGTTTCGCGTTTGTGCCAGGGCTGAATTTGGCTAAAACTGCCAGTTTCCCTGGTGTGCCTGTGTAGCCCTCACGACCGAGCCACGGGGACGCCGCTGGGACGGGCTGGGAGGGGTGACACTTTGCAGGACAGGGGTGCTGTGACAGCAGGTGTGGGAATGCGGACGAGGGTGTGGGCGGGCTGTCCCCTCCCCGTCCTGCCTGCCTCCTGCCCGCTCCCGCTCGCGAGAGAGAACTCTCAACACTTGGGAAGGGGAAAAAAAAAAAAAAAAAAAAAAAGAGAGAGAAATAAATTATCAGTAAAGTAATGCAACACAAACTTATGAAGGACAATTTTTTTTTTGCTGTCAATACACACAAAGAGACAAAAATTGGAAGCTTTTGAGGAAAAGAAATGCGTCTGAACTTCTGAGCGAGCGAGAAAGTACTGAAAAGCCCTGCCATGCCGAGCTCCTCTGAGGTAACTTCTGTGCTTGGAAAGAATATTTCAGAAGACATTTTATTCTTTAGAAGATGCCAAAAATGCAAGACTTGGCACTTTAACAAAACAGAAAAAGGAAAACACATAATCTTCTTAACTAGTAAGTCTTTGAGCCCAGGATCACATTGTTGCCATATAATAAAAAGGGATGTTATGCAGTAAATTGGGCAGTTAAGAATTCTGTGCATACTCAAAATCATGACATTTCAAGGACAATAAAGTTGGCTGGCTCGTGGCCATTGGCCATATGAAGAGAAAACAAAAAAATGGATTGTCAGCTGGTTATTCATACCGCATTACAAAACAAGCCTCCCAACAGGCAAACACTCTTTATTGCTTGTGTTTTTGCTCCAGAAATATATTTTTTAATTAAAAAAAAAAAAAGAAAGAGTTCTTGCAGCATTCATCTTACAAATGTTAACCCCTTAAAAGACAATTCTGACATGCTTTGCCGCTGGCTTTTCCACTTTATAAATGTTCTACAGACGAGGAAAAAATCAGAAGGAAAAATTTATTTCTCACAATGTACGAGCTGTCTGTTTCTTTATTGGAGAAAAAAAAAGAATCAAGGCATTCGAGACAGCTATTAATTATGTGGGATGCAATTAATCGTGTGGGATGTTTTGATTTTTGGGGTGTCTGACATGGAATAATCCCTGGGGAGTTGTTTTCCAGATCAAACGTAGAATCTGTGAGCATGTGCCAAGTGGTGTCCCCAGACCTGCAGCCAAGGCTGAGGATGGTCCCAGTTTTGTGATGGTCTGCAGGGTGGAGCTGGTGGCACCGGTGTTCTGGGTCAATGGAAGTCGGCCCCAGCCCAGCAAGGCACAGTAGGGAAGGGCACCCACAATCTTATTTTGGCTGTGGTTGTATAACATCACTTTACCATGACCTGCTGGACCATGCAGGCTCCCTAATGTCTGTATTGTTACTACAACATGTGTTTATACACAAACAATGATTTCTGTTTCTCTCGGGGTTGCATTACATGCTGGCAGCAATGCTGCTTTCTGGGTGCCACTGCCTGTGTTTTCCACAGGCCGTGCTTCATCAAGTTAAGCCAGAGGCTGGGAGAGCCAGACTCTGAGCCATGTACTGCTTAACTCCACACTTTTATCCTTTCATGGCTCTTTATTTCCATGATTTAATTTCTCCCCAAAGAACTTGATTCTGGCTTTCAAATAAAGATGAGCTTTCTAATAAGTACTATTCTCGCAGAGTCACTGTCCTTTTTAGAAATAGCTGAGGCACTACGATTATTGCATTGCTGTGTAACATTGGGAAGTACCAAATCCTGAAAAAGTACTAAGCATCTCACTTGAGCTTGATCAAAACCCTAACAGCCCCTCTATGAGGCACACTGAAACACCAGTCAGGTGTACATGCTTGACCCATGCTGGGGGGCCAGGGGGCCACAGGGCCACGGCATGAAGGTGAGGTGCTGTGGGGATGATCCCCTCCTGGCTGATGTGGCCATGGACAGAGCTCTGTGGTGTGACTGCCACAGGCCAGTGCCCAACCATCACTTTGGTTTTCACTTCCAGCAGGTGACCAGCTCCATTGGTGTGACAGCCCACATGCTTCTGGTCCCTAGTGGGTCTTCTTGATGAGGTTTTATAAAAGTGATGACCCTTGAACCGTATTTATTAATTTATTTGTAGAGAGGCAGGCAGTCTGGGGGAATTAAACAGAAGCCTTCCTTGCTGAGGGGAGAGGGAAAGGCAGGTTTTTGACATAGGTTTTTGACACACTGCTTCCAATAGGTCCTTATTCTGTCTCTTTAATTGTCCCAGGGGGTTGTGCTGGAACAGCTGCAGGTTGTTTGCAGCAAGATGATCAGGACTACATCTGCAGGTGGTGGGGGAGCTACATTGGGATGTGAAGCTGGGAGAATATGACTGGAACAGGTATGGCAGTGGGCTTTTCTGGGCTTTTTGGGCTGGAGAAAGAGCGGGAGGTGTTTGCAATGCATTTGGTTGAGCCTTGTGAGGAGGGTGACATGGGCATGTTGGATGTGCTGGTGCTGTGTTGCTCTGGCTTCTTGCTAAGAGCTGCAATGGTATGTAGGGAAAGATGTGTGAAATCACTGGTGAAGTCAAATGCCTTTGGTTGAAGGAGGAATCTTTGCTGTGGGAGGGAATGACACCCCTGTTTGGTCATAGAGCTCCCACAAAATTGCCCCCGTCCTGCTGGGGATGTAGGCCGAGGGAAAGAGACTGAGTTAGGCTGTTGTGGTGACAGCTTTTTCCCCTCCCTCATTTAAGTAAATCTTTCCTGACCATAACTTAGGGGAGATGCTTGGCTGAAAATCTTGTGTCTTTTTTTGGGAATTGCTTGTTGATTGGTTGTAGAAATGGCACCAGGGTAGATCCCGAACTGATACAAATAGGTTCATTGCCTGTCAAGTCACTGTATTTCTCTCATCCTCCAAGTCCTGGGTCAGCTCCCTGCTCCTACATGCTCCCTGCTCATGCTTTCTGTGCCACTGTTCCCACACAAGGGCCTTGCTTGGTCCTTCTGCTTCTCCCTCTCTTCCCCAGTTCTCGAGCATCTTTATTTGCAGTGTGATTTGCTCAACCTTCCTTTTGTGTTTTAATCCACTGTAGTCTGTCCCCTGGTCCTGCCTATGCTCATCATTGCCCATATCTACCTTGTTTTGATTGCACGTTCTCTGGGACAAAGTGCAACGATGCCGTTTTGTGGATAATTAAATCCTCCTGGTTGCGGTTCCAGTCAGTGGGACAACTCATGCTGCATCGTGCAGGAGGATATAAACTGCCTGGATTTGCATGCAGAGTCTGTCATCTGCTGTGAATCATTTTGGGATGCTTTTGCATGAGTGAAGCTGTTTAAAAATAAATTGTATTGTGTTAGACTAATGGAAGATAATAAATTCGTCTAGTCTTTTAGCTTAAAATTCATCAATGTCTGGAGCTGGAAGGGGGAAAGGAGCTGGAGGACATAGACCCATTGGGCAATTAATGGCCAGGAACTTGGCACTTGCCAGGCTGCCATGATGCCCAGCAGTGTCACAGTGCCCTGACAGCAGGAGGACAGCACAAGCATTAAACCCTTCTTAAAAAGGCAAAAACTACAAAAAAACCCCTCCCCCTTTTAAACATCAGTTAACAAGATATCCCTTAATCAAAGTCTGTTCTAAGTGGTACTGTGCAAAGGGATTATTGCAAGATCAAAAACCTTTGAATTATTGAAGCCTTCAAACCCTGATGGTATTTGCTATCCCCTCCCTGTCCCCCGTGCTACAGCAGGGAGAGCCCTTTTTTGTTGAGTGTAATTTCCCTGAGATCAGAATGGGTCAGCTCTGCTCTGATTTTGGCCAGCAGTGTGGGAGAGGGGTTGCAAACTCTAGCCCAAAGCTCGTGCAGATTGTCACTGGGCAATTTTGGGGAGATAGCACACAGAGTGCGTGACCTGTCTCTGTGCTACCTCGCTGGTGTGGCAGGGACTCTGGGACAGTGTCCCTTGCAGGGGGTGCCCCATCCGGGCCATAGGGATACTGCAGGGAAAGAACTTGTGCTGGGGTAGGAAAAAGCACACCAGCTATAAAGTCAGCTTTGTGGTTGTTTCTGGCCATCATCACCTACTCTGAGCACCAGTATCCTGTGCCCCTGTCCCCTCATGTCCCTGTCCCCCAGCATATGCTCTCTCTGGTTTCCCACTATTAAACTGCTGTAGACAGACTACAGCACCAGGTGGCTCTGGCATTGCTCCAGGACAGCATTCCTGTGGCCTGGCCCCAGGCTGTGGCAGAGGGTCCTCGCTCTTGTTAAGGTCCAGTGGCTTTTCCCCTCAACCCCCCTGCTGATGCCTTCTCGTCCCGATGCAGCTGTAAATTTGGGGTGATTCTGGTGACATCTGCAGAGTGAGGCCTGATTGGAGCCCACATAAGTAGGAGGTGAGGTGAAAGTGAGACATGGAGGGAAAGCAGCTTGTTAGTAGAGCAAATAATTCACAGTAAACAATTTCTTCAACAAACACATTGTTTGGATATCTATTTTTGAATATCTGCAAAGGGGCTGTGCAATTCCTGAATCTGCTGGTGCTCTGAACTAATGGAGTTTGCTTTATTTCCTTTCGGTTTGGGATGTGTGAGAGTGTGCTGGCTGTGTTCAGGCTGTCCTGGCCAACTGCAGTGGCTCACACCAATTGCCACTCTGTTACCTTGACTGAGTACCCCAGTGCTCTCCCTCTGCCCAGCCATGACAAAGGTCCTAGAAACATCCTGTTTCCCTGAAAATATGGCCAATGCAAAAACACTTGTGTGGACAGGCTTAATATTCACCTAACACAAAAGACTGTGTAGGCAAACCTTGTTCTTTGATGGAAGATGAAGAAAATAACTGCTCATGTTTAAACTCATCTGAGTATTTGAGACAATGCCCTGGATGCATTTTTCCAGTAATTCTTATGTTTGACCCAATACAACTGTTAGTCTACTTTGAAATCTTCAGTGACGCTAAACTGGGGAAACCAAGAGTGTAATTTATGGAAGGAAAAGTGCAGCAGATAGATGTTTTGTGTCCTATGAAGTACTCCTGCCACTTAAAAGACCACTTATTGAATGGAACTTCTGGTTGATGTCATTTGCTGGTTTGTTAGCGCCTTCCCCCAAATCCTTGCTTTGAGGAAAAGTGTTTTTAAGAAAAAAGTGTGAGTATGAACTGGACTCTGCTGTTACAAGTTGTGAGGCTCAAGGCCCTGGAAACTCAGCTCCATTGTTGCTGGTAGCATGATCTAGCAGCACCCTGGAAGCTTTCTTCCCTCACACCCCCAAAATATTGCATTTACAGCAGGAGGTAAAGCCTGTGAGAAAGTTGCAGGTAGAAACAGATAGTGCTTTGAATTGCTGTTGCTTTGCTTGCATACAGATCACTGATGGGGCTGATCTGGCCAAAGCTAACTCTGCCCATTGATGCCCACTCTGTCCCAAATCAGGGTCCCAAGGAGGCAACTTGGGCAGGTGTTCATTCAGCAAGAAGGTGTGATGGGCAGCACCTATGTGTGTGTATGCTGATGGCTGACTACCCCAGGCAAGCAAAATAAGCTCAAATTTTATCCCCATCAGCAACAGCTCAAACCAGTACACCTTTTCTGTGGCTGGTGATGGATGGCTGATGCAGGAGTAGGCTCCAGGGCTGCCTTCCTTGCTGCAGCTCTGAGGGTTGGAATTTGGGATTAGGTGGAATTAGGGATTTATCCCTCAGCATCCTGCTATAAACCTGCCTCTTCTCATGGTGTCTCTGCCAAGTTTTGCAGGGATTTCTTGTAGAGTCACTCCTGGTGACTTCTCTGTTGTAGACCACCAGCCAGTAGTGTGGCTGCCCCCTCCCCAGTGCCTCAGCAGCTCTCCCAGTGCATGTGTGGGGCACAGGAGCCATTCCTTGGGCTGTGCTCAGTGCTGTGCAGCAGGTTAATCTGAACCTGCAGTAGGACTGCTGCCCTGGTAAATCACACTGCTCAGGAGTTAACTAGATCAACTTTCTAGTCATCCCAGGTCTTTTAAAGGGCTCTTTTTTTTATTATCCAATTAACTATACATGTTAATAAAAAAATTTCTTTTATATAAAACCGAGCAAATTTTTTTCTCTGCCTGGAGTGACATAAATAGACCTTTTCATATATAGCTTCAGTGTCCTGGGACTGATTTGTGGATATATATTGCTGCTTAGAAAGACTGTAATTTACAGGTGATTGTTTGGAGGACTTCAAGTTACCACCACTCATATATATGGATATATAAATAAAAAATGAAACTTCTCAGGACATTCTACATAAACAATTTTCCTGGGAAGAAAAAGGATTCTCAATAAAAATAATAATAATAAAAAACGGCAAGGTTTTTTTATATCTATGCCTCTACATAAAGTAGGGGTAGATTACTTCAGTCTTTCATTTTTATTTCAGCATTTCTGGACCATTTCCTCCAATATTTTATCTTTTTTCTTCCATCACATATAAATAAACTTCTCTTATATTCCACTTCTGGAGGAACTGGCAGGTTTGGGGTCTGGAGGTAGCAGAAACCCTGCTGCCCAGCCCTGCCTGCCTGCACTTCCTCCAAGAAGAATAGGGATGGGAAGGATTAGCTCCAGCTGCCTTAATGAAATATCACTTCAACCTCTAAGTCTCTCTCACAGAAAAATACATACATGCACAAAGAGAAATACTTTTGGAAGCTGCTTGTGATTTTATGGCCCTGTTGCTGGGAGCTGCTGACAGTCTCTGCTCTCAGCAATCAGGCTCTCTGTTAAAGCTGGATACCATAAAGTCACTATTTCACTTTGGAAGATATTTTTATAAAGTTTTTTAGCGTTCCTGGTCCGAGACAGAGCCATGGCTCGCCCAAATCAGGATCGGGGTCTGCAGGAGCAGCCAAAGGGCACATCTGCAAGATGAGCCCCGAAGCAGCACCACTGAGCACCCAGAGCTGTTTTTCCAGCCTTCAAATGTCTGTGCTTCAGAGGCATATTGTAAGACAGAAGGATCTTTTCTGCCCCTAATTTATCTAGTTGCCTTTTTTTTTAAACTCTTATAATCTTTGAGGCATCTGCAACACCTATTCCATGGGTCTGTGATTTTTTTTCTGAAGTTGTAAACAGATTAATGCAAGTTTATGTGACCTGAAAGTAGATAATTTAGTGGTAGTTAATGCTCCTTCTTGCCCATCAGAAGAGGGGCTGGTTTTAGTCCCTTTATTAAAGCACGCAACAAAGTCTGCCTTCAGCTTCCAGTGTGCACTTCCAATGTAATTTAAGGGTTTAAAGATGAACACAACTTGTGTGGAGGAAAAGGGATGTCAAAGTAAAAAATCCCATGCTTTTAATTGAGATTAGTTGATCCATATTCCATTACCAAATCCTGTCCCGTGGCCGCTGTTCCTGCACAGCCGGG